CGAGAATCTTTCAATGTGAAAGGAGGAAATACGCATGCGAACTGTAAACACATGTCAGTATTTCCGGTTCATTGACAGTTTGTAATGATGATTAGTTTAGAAAAGTAATTCACCGCATTTGACGATGTTGCGTTGAGTATTTAGATATGTTAGAATTTATTTCAATCTTGGTGAATTCTGTCACATAGTTACAGTACTTTTCTGAATAGGTAAAATACACTGTTCAACTAAAGTGCAGTGTTGCGTTGGTCACACCTCGAAGTTGATTTTCCTTTCCTCTGCTCAACCATCATGGCATCGCTTTTAACAGTGAACAATAACTCACACAGTGATTTGGTTGATGAAACCAACATAGGTGGATCCAAAGTGTACCACTGTAACAGTGGCGATTTGATGGGAGGTCTTGGACTGGTGGTTCAAGCTGTACTGGCATTCTTAGCATTTACATCACTTATAGGTTTGTAGAATGAAAAGAGTGTAAGACTGATTAGTCTCCATGTTTCATACGCAATCTTTCTTTGATTTTTAACAAAGATTATCTTTTCTAAAGTTTGCTCTACTGTAAATGGGATATATGGGGTATATTCTCTTTAGGGAAGTGAACAGGCTTTCGCCTACATCCATTTCATTTTGCAAGCATTCATGTTGTTATTCTGGAAAACGTGTAAAATTGAGAACCAATGACGACCTTCACGTCAGTGTACATTGTCATTTCAGTGAAAAGATACTGTGAGCCAATTTATGAAAGACGACCTTGGAAAATATGGTAAAAATAAGCGATCATTTATTATTTTGTTGTCTGTAAAGAAATATTTTTAATAATTAATTTAATCAATTAACATGATTAAAGCTTTTTTATGTTTTTGATACATGTACTCTCATGTTCATGATCAATTTCACATTCATTAAAGGTTCTTTGACACATCTAAGCAAGGTTTTGGGGCTGCTGTCATCCATTTTGCTAATGTGTTCCTAGCAGATATGTTTCAGGGAGATCCATGCACCTGGTACATTGTACACTCTTCATATATATATTAAGCTTCTTTGTTCTATTAGAATCCTAAGTACTGCTTAATTTGTTGTGCTAGAATGTAGGGCTGCCACGAATCAGAAAATTTTTGAATCGATTCGGTTCAAACAAAAACCTCGATTTTCAAATAATTTCGGTTCGATTATAAGAAATAGATCTTTTTTTAAATTTTTGTATAAAATCTGTAATCTTTGATCACCATAATCATAAGATATTCTTTAATAAATTATGATTCATACTTTTATAAGGTTTATTAAGATAAAATAGAATGTGAAGCCAAGAAAACATAGAAAATACCTAATGTTCTAATTAAAAGTATGACCCAAGAATCAAATGTCGGAAATCCAAATGAATAAAAACACTGGTCATTGGTTTTAAAAGATGAAACATGCGAACAAATCTTTCAAACAAAACCAATGATTTCATATTAATTATTATGCTAAGCATAAAAGTATTGGTGATTTGCTCACAAAGGCTGTTTGGTCACAATAGAAACGGTAAGATTCCAGCTGTGATTTAAATTTTTGATTCACCAATACGATATGAAACCACCTAACCACATAACTGTCATAACAAGAATGTCAATAATTATTTCACATTCAAAACGATCTCATTATTAAAAAGAAATAAGGAAATTCGCAGCACTGTGTCGGTTCCTCTAAATTCAGAATTACGTGGTTGATTGGTGTTGCCTTTTAGTAAATCTATTTATCCTCTGTGCCATCTTTCTGTCGAAAATGGAACTTGGAAGTAATCCCCCGTCGACTTCTTCGCGGCCATTTTCATGTTTTTGTTTACTTTAACATGATTTGCCATCATTTCTTCCGATTAACCAATCGGACTGCGCGTAACAACAGCTAATGTTAGTATGAAAAAATCAAACCTGAATCGAATCAAAATCCCGAAAAGACATACCGAATTGAACCGAAAGATTGTGAATCGCGTTAACCGATATTTCGGTTAATCGTGGCAGCCCTACTAGAATGTCAAACATATATACATTTGTATAATATCAAAACTGAAAAATGTAATGCTCATAATGGTATCAAGCATTTTGCTTAAAGTAATTTTCTTTTTCCAGTACTTTATGAACTCGCTTGAAAAAATACCTTTCGATAAGTAGAATATTTAGCAAGAGGCCAATTTAGCAACACCCCCCCCCCCCTCCCTTTCAAAAAAATAATTGTGTTATTTTTAAAATAGCAAATTCTTGTTGTCTTCTTTATGTATTTGTTGAATACAAAGATGCAAATTTTTAATCAATAACCCAAAGTAAGCTAATGTGTTTATGTTTCTTTAGGTATTTTGTGAGCTTCATACTGGATTCTACAATTGGTTTGTTTGTGATTTACATTGGTCTCAAGCTTACTCAAGTTATTGTGCGGAGGCTGAAGTGGGATTCACTAAAGTTTGGAGAATATGGTAAGTGTCACAAACTTTAAGGTAGAATCAACATACAGTGTTCATTTAAACAATAAAATGCTTTCTTTGTTTGTTATTACTGGAATTAACGGAAAGCATCTGTTGCAGAAAAAATACATAACCCGCGTTATGTAAATTTTTTCTGCAATAGCTGCGACCGTTAATTCCAGTAATAAAAAACAAAGAAAGACATTTTATTGTTTATATTTATATCTGTTTAAATAATCATTTAAAGTAGGATTAAAAAGATTAATTATTGTATTAATGATGCAAACGTCTTTATGCGTTTCATTGATGGAACAGCCACTGATCAAGAAATCTGAACAGGCAACATGCCTAATGTAGTTCATGCAGTGATTAACGCAATGGGTTTTCTTAAGAAATAAAGGAGAAAATATTCAGTGGATGTAAATATTTAATAATAAATCATAATAATAATAAATCATAATAAATGCTTGTACTAGAAATCACATAAACAAGTAGATTGTTGGAATTGAGAATGCTAAGATTGCATTTCACACAGACAAGATAGTGTGAAGAAATATCTATTCTTAGTATCTGAAATAAAGCGTAGTTAAATAAGTACAGTTGAACATTGAATATCTATATCTCGAATACCATCTATTAGATAATTCGAAGTAATTTCTTATTTGAAATAGGAAATAAAACTTAAATTTGGAAGTCCTTACCAATTGTTCTTTTAGTAATTTACTTTCAATATCTCAAACTCTCACAAACCTTGAAGTTTTTCTTAATCATTTTTGAGAAAATGAGATAACTGTTTAACAGTCATTTATTATAATGTTACATTGTAGGGAATCCCCCCGCCTGCAGCACCTGGGTAGGACAGTGTGCCCTGTATATCCTTGTGATGATCCTGGAGAAAATTCTTATGACACTTCTGATCCAGTTTGACTTCTGGAAGAAGGTAACTTCACAAAACTTGATATTGTGGAGAATTCCAGAAACTGTGCTGACTGTGTATGTTTCAAAAAACCATGCTAATTATTGGAGGTTGTAGGTTTACAAATAGCAGATTTATTTTTTGAGAGTGTTATTTTTGTCCATAGGTGAGGAAATTTTTAATGTCACCCATTAAGGACCCCAAAGTAGAGCTGGTGATTGTGATGTTCATAGTCCCACTAGTGGTTAATGTAAGTAAAAAATCAATAAAGAGGTAAGGGTAAATCTGAAATCAGTACAATTTCTTCAATACTAGCCAATTGCTATCCTTACATGAAAAGTTGATATGCACCTGACAAGTGATTCAAGTATTTACATAAGCAATAGATTCCTTTTAAGATTCCTTTGCAACAAGCTTTTTAAACATAGACTTTTTTCAAAGTGAAAGGTGCTTTGTTTACCAGTAAGTAAAATTATATGATAAAGGTCACTAAATTGAACTTATTTTTCCCTCCAAATTTCAGGCTTTTATATTTTGGGTAGTAGACAACTTCCTGAAAAGAAAAATTAAAGGTACGAAAACTATATATGTCAGTGATGTAGAGACAAGCGTAAAATACAATAGAAACAAAGAAGAGGCACGGTGCTACAACAGAATAGAAAAATCAGACGATTACTTTGAATCAGACTTGATGGCTTCTACTGATGATGAACCAGATCTGAGATATAGAAATACGGACGGGACGGAAAAATTACTAGCATGATGAAAATAGATTTATTGAACAGTTTGAGGGCAAATAATTCTATGGTTCATCATTCTTCACTTAAAATAAGTATAGTGAATTGTTTTATGTGATATGTGATTGATTTTTTAGTGTGTTAAATTAATGTTCTTTTCACAAAGATATTCATTGTTTTTTGAAGTAGAATGGTGATGTGAAATTGATAATCTAGGGAATAAGATTTCCAATGTATTTAAAATGAAAAGATATTTTTTTTCATCTCTGGAATTCTCCTGAATTAAATTTGTTTGTATGTACACCAAAATTTCAAAGCTACATTTAAGACTTAAGTTCTGCTAAATAACAACCCCCCTTCCACCCCTTTGAATTAGGAGAATTCTATGCCTAGTCTCAGAAACACCGTAGCTAGCATTAAATTACCTCAGCGGTGTTTATGGTCCATTATTTAATTTGCCAAAATTTCCCAAAAAGACTTCCCACTTAGCACTAGACAATTTTTTGTAGTATTTCAAAGTGCTTCATTTTGCCAAAACAGTTCATGATTTGATGGTGTCCTAGCTATTTCATTTGCCGGTGTTGATTTTTGTTGTGATTTTAAATGATTTATGGACAGACATAGTATTGAGATTTATATAGTGCCATTCTTATATGTCTCTTCTTGAAAATTTGTGCTCTTTCTTTGGATTTTGTCATGTAGAGATTAGAGAGTGGTGTTTTTGCTAAAATAAATTATTTCCTTCAATTTTTGAGGGAAAAATTAGACTTGAACAGAAGATTTCTCATCTTTATAAGCGCAACCATATTACACTCAAATTGATCACACATACAAAACAAACATATGTGTCTTGAAATATAAAATCCATTTTAGAATTATAGTTTCAAACTTGCCTTTCTGCCCTTTAGTTTAAAAGTGTATTAATTGTCTCTATAATTTGCTTAGCATTTGCTCTTATGGATTCTGATTAATTCTAGTGATGTAGTTTGTTGGGTCTTTTTAATACAAAATTTTATTCACAAATAAAAGTGAATGGGATTGGGCAGCAGTCAAAGCCTATCTTAGCTCTCTCTCCAAGAGGATGGATGTACTAGTGATATAGTTTTGGTGGTGTGTTCATTCTGTTAATTTATGTGTATATTTAGTATGGATTTATGAATTTGATTGTGTGTACTTTATGTATTTTATTGTTGAGTTTGAATATAAACTTATCCTGTAATTATAAGTATTTATTGACCTTTCTCTATGTGGATGTACATGTGAAATTATTCATTTTTTTTTAAAATTATCTTAATATCAACAAAGACTTTTAACAGAAAGGTACATAACAATTATATATATGTACTAGTATTTACGAGGTTGATCCAAAAGTTGGAATTTCTTCATATTTTATTTATTCTTTGGTGAAATTGGTTGAAAATTACAAATGATAATTTAGACATTTGTTGGATATTTTACATAAAAAACATTTTAAATATCTATGATAGTAACTCTATGGCAGTTGCCATAGAAATGGTTGTTTAGAAATGCGGGGGAGATATTAATCCGTTTATTAATCATTTTAATTCTGAATGCGTGAAATGAGAATAAAACTGCCCTATATGGTATATAAAACGAAAATTATGTCATTATTACGATTGCTTGACTTTTATAAACCTTTGTGTGAGAGATTAACTGATTTAACTGGATATTTAGTTTATTAGTTGATGATTTATTGTTCATCTTTAAGGTGTTAGACAACCTCAAATTTCAGTCAAGTCATAAGTTTTGTGAAAATTGCGGGATCACTTTATCTTGAACATGTATATTATTGACATAGGCTGGGGGAGAATGCATTTAGTTATTGGTTTTCCAGTGGCATAAGAAATATAGATCGTCCATGGACATTGATTAAAGGTGTGGCCATTTTTTAGGCTATGTTTTAAGTGATTATCTCCCTAGAAAAATTAAAAGTGTTCATGAACGTTGTTGGCTTACTTACTGTTCTTGCCATTGCTACTGAAATTGGAACTTCATATGAAAAGATGGGGTGTATTTTGAAATATGTGTTAAAAATGAAGATAAGTTAGTTCGAGAGGATACCCAGGCTTTTCTTGAGAAAAAAAATGGAGAAAATGGCAGCATTTTGTAGAATTACATATTCGAATTGGACATCAGGGTGAGCTGCTTCTATAACATGAAGTGACATATCTAAATTGACGTAACATAGAAGTCTCCCCCGGGTTTCACAACTATCCATTAACAGAAAGCTCATGTGACCTAATTGGTAATTGAAAAGTGGTTAAATTTTCCAATATTGTTGCATTATGACTCTTTATTATAAATATACCTGTTGTTTGTTTTCATCAAATCACAATAAAATTTTAGAAAGAAATTCCACGAACTTTTGGGTCAGCACTTGTATTCTCAAATTGTCAACAAGACTAAATTTTTGTCCTTACTAGATGTATGACAAATTCAAAACTTTAAGAATGTTTATACTTATCTACTCAATAATGATATTGAATTAGATATCTAATTTTTTCAAGTTAATATACAATTTATTATCTGCATTGTAATCACATATACAATATAAATGAATCATCTGGACACAAAATATTTATCACTTGTACTTTTTGACCATGTATGAATTTTAAGTCTTGAAAATTGACATGAACATGATGTAAAAGTTTGCTAATAAGGTCATTGCAAACTTTTTCTCTGTTTAGCATCCACCCGTCTTTCAAAATCCTACCTACTTATTCACATTAAGAATGCACAATTAAGCCCCAAAAGAAAGAAAACAAAGGCTTACTGTAATAAACCTAACATCATTCAAAGGATTCATGGACATCATGAATCTATTTCTTTTATAGAAAAATTTCTGTTAAGTAAACTTAATAAAGACTTAAAATATGCATGATATGATATACTGTAGAAAAAAATATTTAAGACTTGACAAATTTCAAAGGTTTTGACCAAATAATCAACTTTAAGATCCTGAATTGTTTTTTTTAATCTAATATAATAGTATGCCAAAAACCAAGGTTCACACAGATGCTAAATGGAGAAAAACTTGAAATGGCCTCACTCAGATTTTTTGTTTGAATTTAAAATTTGTGCAATTAATTCAATAATTTAATTGTACCTGCCACTCATTATTAATTTTATTTCTGTTGATAGTAATTTTATTCTCATTTTATTTCTGTTGATAGTAATTTTATTCTCAAATCAAAAATATGAAAGCCCCAAGCATATATATCTATTTATTTCTATTTTGTCTTTGCATGTTATTTAATTTTACTTTCTGCAATATTGACTCTTTGAATTCCATCCACAGTTAAAGTTAACTTAAGTATTCATTTTTGTATTTATTTTAATTGAGACATACTTTTACATTGCATGTATATATGCCAAAAAGCTACATATTAACTAAGTTATTTTGCTTGTGTTTTTATTTTGGATATCATAAAAATATGTATTATAAACTTAAATTTAACAATGAGAATATTTGTACATTACCATATACTTCAGATATGAAGCATATTTATTACCTTAAAACATATCTTTATTATATAGAGGGCATTTCCTAAATCCTTGCTTCAATAACTTTAGCACAGGTATTTATTTCACTTCTTATACTCCAAGATGTTTTGTTAAATTAAGAATTTTAAGTGAGAAATCCAGTTATGTATACATAAATAGAGAAAAAAATCCTTATTTATTCCTAAATAATCACCTTTTTCATTGTATATGTTCATCCTTTATAATTGTTGTATTAATCAGCCCTTGGGCCTATGTACTGTTTCTTTTCTTACTCAATTTTTATACGCCCATCTTAAGACGGGACGTATTATGTTATAGGCTTCGTGTCCGTCCGTCTGTCTGTTAGCTTTTTCGTTTCCGGCTCATAACTTTAATACTACTAGGTCTAGGATTATCAAACTTTGTCATCTGATGCATCTTGGGTAGAAGGTGTGTCGCGCACGAAAAGTAGGTCATTCTGACCTTTAATTAAGAAGTTATAGCCAAATATGGAAAAATCCTTTCCGGCCCATAACTAGAAAACCATAAGACCTACAATCATCAAACTTGGCCAGTTTATGCATCTTAGGTAGAAGGTGTGTCGCGACCTATTTCAAGGTCACTGTGACCTTTAATTTAAGTGAATTCAAAAAAAAAATGTGTCTTTTTACTATTCATTTACACATCCCAAATAATGTAAGAGTATTGCACTGTTCTTATTAAAAAAGTTAAATCAAGAAAATACTTATTTTTTTAAAGCATATACTTGACAGCAATCTATAACAAATATAATGTATGTCAGAGAAATCCTACCTCTCCCATGAGTGTAACTAGTGCTAATTGTAACGGGAACCGTTACAGATGTTCCCCAAACGCTCCCCAACTCCCTTTCGGTGCCATGTTCCCTGTAAGCTTCATTAAATAAGACAAACTCTGTGCATTTTTGACTTTTACAACGCTTTCCCAGAAGGATACCAATTATATTTCAATTTTTAGCATTGCACCCAAGCGCATGTGAATGCATGTGCGTTATGACCATATCATCTTGTCTACACTATCTATATATTTTAATATACTATATATTAAAGCATTCAGTCCAAAAGTAATAAAAATCACTCATTCAAGAGTATTTTTAAATATACTCGTTTCAAATCACGCACGTGCGTGCGCGTGCATGATGATCATACCTTCTTGTAGGAGTCCCTTACATCTATCTATGTTCTAAATCCCGTCCTGTTTGGTTGAAAAACAAGGGAGTTATAGCCATTTAAAGTTTCAGCTAATCAGATTGCAGCACACGTGCATGCACGTAATTTAATGATTTTTTTAATATCATTTTGTAGGATATCCTAATGCATGACTATATTTTAAATTTCAAAAAATTCGTCAAAAAACAAAGGAGAAATAGCAATTTAAAGTTTCAGCCAATCAGATTGCAGCACACGTGCATGTGCGTAATTTTATTATTTTTTTTCTATATCATTTCGTAGGATATCCTAATGCATGACTATATTTTAAATTTCAAAGAATTTCGTCAAAAAACAAAGGAGAAATAGCCATTTAAAGTTTCAGCCAATCAGATTGCAGCACACGTGCATGCGCGTGATTTCATGAATTTTTTTCTATATCAT